ATCTTCCCGCACTCCTTACAGCAACTAACCCCTTAAACAAGCGGCCTAGAACCCTCAAAACCCCCCAAAGCCCGCTTTGCATCCGGAAGCCGAAGTTCATACTCTTGAACTCACCTAAACCCTAAACCCTAAACACACCTACCTTTTTCCGCTCAAAACATCTCGAAGCCCAAACCCTGAGCAAATGCAGTACTGGAATCCTCAACAAGATCAAACACACATGAAACATGAACGCCCCTAGCCCCAAACCATTTTCGTATACGTATATAAAGACCAGAAGATGTTCGAACGAACCCTCCCGAGGCCTACAGCAAGCCCTACAACCTTAAACCCTAAACCCTACTGCAAGCCTTCAACCCTAAGCCAAGGGCAAGGCAAGATCACATCGGGATCCTCTTGAAGGATCTCGTCTATCCTGCACCAAGCCCCCCCGATGTCCCTTCCCTAAACCGCAGGCCCAAACCCTTAATAGCGGGTATTTTAAGGCATATTAGAGGGCAGTTGCGGGGTCTAAGCAAGGGTCTCTGGCCTTTAGGGTTTAAAGGAAAAGGGGTGTAAAGAAGCGGCCTAAGTGCTTGCCAATACTCTTTCGGGGGCCGGACATGGGAGCTGGGCTGGACTGGGCTGTGCCTGGATGTTGGTTTGGAGTTGGGCTGGGATCCCTTCCCGCATATTCAATGAAAATTCCAAACTAATGAAAATGCAAATCGAAGCGAACTCAACGTAATTTCTGTTTATTCTGCTCTTGAGGATTTAGGGTTTAGGGGCTTAGGGTGTAGGGTTTAGGGCTCAATGCTCTAGGATAGTGGATTTCGGGATTTCCTTCCGCCAGAAATCGGGGTTTTGGTGATTTCGTTCAGCCAGGGGTCGGGCTTCTTGGATAATGCCGGAAATTTCACAAAAACTCTACGCCCCATGCCCCAAAACAGAAAGACTGGAAACCCTAAACCCAAAAGCCTAAGCTTCAGGCCTTCTTGTGCCCAGAATGTCGGGCCCTTTTTCTTCTTTCAGGGGTTTAAGTTTCCTACGACTTTGTTCCTTGGGGCTTTCATATTTTGTTGGGTATGTATGAGGGGGAAATCTTACTACCAAATGCGCAAAAACCCTGCACACCAGATAGTCCTTGGAGCTGTTTGTTGGACTTCGGCTTCTTCTTCTTAACCTGGAAGGAGAGTCATGGGTTTAGGGTTTTAGCTTAGTTGCTGAGTTCATAAGCCCCCCCAAAAGTGTACACTTTCAGTTGCATTGTGGGTAATATTATCCCAAAAGTGTATATAACGTGTATCCACTCAGCTACTAAGTTAGGGTTCTAAACCTTGAGCGTAAGACAAACTCTTGACCACGCCATGACGGCGCGTTGGACAACGAACGAAACAAGCCCGCCCTGACACAGCTTCCAAGGGAGAAAACCCAAGCCCCACGGATACTAACACATTCTGTCAAGAAGCTCGTATCTGGGAGCCTTCTGGGGGTTTCCGGGAACACAACTGCAGCAGTGGACATCATTTATTTGGTTTGAACAACTCGGCATCAACAATCAAGATGCTGTTGGTATCTGTATCAAAAGCCCGGGCATTAATGCACATGTTGCGCAAACTTTCGGCACATTCGCCAGATGCGTGAACACCTGGGGCTGCAAAATCAACCTGGATTGCTAGCTTGACTGCGAGAGCAAGAAGCACCCCTGAAGAAGCCCGAACCTGACAAGCCACCGCTCGGGACATCTTCACGTTAATGAGTGCCAGCATCAGCAGCAAAGGTCTTACCACTGACAACATACCAGATCTAGCGGCTAAACCCTAACGGCCCTAACGATGTGCATTCGCACCTTGGTGCCGTCCGTATTGGCGGCCGGGTTTGTTTCGAAGCTGCTGTGCTGTCCATCTGCCTGCGAGACTGGGTTAGGAATCATGTACTTAAAGGGTCATGGGACTTAGTAACTAGGGTTATAATTAGGGTAACTGTACTCATAACCCCAGTTAGGGTACTCATAGCCCTACTTACTAAGTCCCATGATCCTCCAAGTAGGGTGTACGAGTCAGGGATTTCGGGTTTAAGTTGTTCAGCAAAATATCTGTCACGGCCCCCCCCTCTCTCCAGGCATGCAGCCCCGCGGTGTAGGGTTTAGGGTTCAGGGATTACCTACAGGGGTTTCGAGAGTGCCATGGAGCTCCCCCTATAAAACTCCAAAGGCTATTAACAGGTCATGCAGATCATAGGATCGCCTGAATACTAACTTGTAACTACCATTAAACTAAACTAAACTAAACCCAAGTACCTAATCACTGTGTCCTCTGGTCCCTACCGACCCTGACTGTGAGCCCTCGACTAGAACCTATAATCTAGGGGCCTTTATCATTAAAGTAGGGTTTTGGGGCACACTATACTATGATAGTTATAATAAAGAACCTCCAAAATAGTATAGGTAATTATTTGGGCCTCCATAGTAAAGCCCCATAATACCCCTTCCAGTTCAATAGCCCTTATAAACCCCTCCAAAAAAACCCAAACCCTAATTAATTCTTGGTAAATAAAAAGGTCCCTGCGGTATAAGCCCCCTCCCCTCTTAGAGATGCCTTCCAACTTTAAGCAGACCCTGTGCTAGGCCGAGCTGGGAGACTGAAGCTCCCTGATGCTTTTAGGGTTTAGGAGGGTTTAGGGTTTGGGGTTTAGGGGTTAAGAGTTCAGGGTTGAGGGTTTAGGAGTTCAAACACTTCCCGAAGGGCCTTGAGGTAAGCGCTGGGTTCGTTGATTAATATGTTTAGGGATCAGACAAGTTTGTGTTTAGTGTCTTCACTAAATGTTGCTAGGGCTTTGGGGGTTGTACTGTATGCTCTGTGCTGCCAAAGTTTTGGTATCTGCAATTGTTGTCGGGAGCGTAAGTCGCTTGCCTAAGTCTTTGGCCACCAGTGATTCAGACACGTCTTTTCTCGCATGATGCTGCGACATCATGCGAGATGCCAAACCGTTAACCCGAAAACCCCAACCCCAAATCCGTAACAAAAACAAAACCGACCCCAAAAGCCCCGAACCCTAAATCCGAAACCATTACAGCCCCAAACCCCAAATCCATCTTCAAGGCTCTGCCATCCCCTTCTTTTCCACTCAGCTTCCATCATATTTTTGTCCCGAAACCGGGCCAGGGAAGCTCAGGAGAGTACTCCCAGTCGGCGAAGTCCACTCGAAACTTTCAATTGAGAATCTGGGCCGTCTTTACAATGCCCCTGCAGCTGCCAAAGTGAAGATGGGATACTTTGGCTTGATTGCTGCAAGAGCTGCTGGCTGGCAATCAGCCAGGGCCGGAGCGTGCGATTCAGCTGATGGAGCAGTGCTTGGTCTTCGCTCTGGCACAGGCGGCTCTTCCAGTGGTGGCTGCTGACGTGGAACCGGCCCAGTGATGTGCCTGCGGGCATCGGATCCAAACCAAGAAGAGCAAGCACCATGTTGTAGGTGTCTATTTCCATCAGTGCTTCTTGATGGATGACGAGCAAAAGCTCGCCGAAGAGGCGCCTCCACTCCTTCAGATGGGGTATTGACATCGAAGCGATGTCGGCATCGGCATCTCGGATCAGGTCGGCGACAGTTACGGTCTCCTGGGCTCTTGTCAAGGTACTGAACTTAAGTTCTCGTAATGAGGGTTTAGGGTTTAGGGCCAGGGAAAGGTAGTTAAGTTTACAATACATACCTGCTCTGGCAACTTTCCTTAACTTGCCCCGAGGGGTCCATGTGCCCATGGAGTATGTACGTTTGCCCTAACTGCATCCTTAACTTCATACAGGTACATGGACCCTGTTTCAGAGCCTAACCTACACACTAAACCCCTAAGATTCCAAACAAGAACCCAGTTGCTGGATTTCGAGAGGCCCCCATGTGTCCAAGCATCGCAATGGATGCGATTCGGCGAGCTGGCGAACAGACAATCAGCAGAGGTCGAGCATTCCTTGGGGTCTTTTATCTTGAGCTCCTTTTCAACTTCAATTCCTTCATGTTTAGCATTGAGGGTTTAGGGCACAAATGTAGCATACCTTAGTTTCCCCACGCTGCTTTATGGGTTCTTGTAGGGGTCTATAGGAGGTCTCCCAGCCCTTAATGAGGGCACCCTGTTCCCTCTTGTTCAGTTTTGATAACAACACGCCCAAACAAGGCCAGAAAGGGTACTTGAGGACCTGGATTCATTTGGCGCAGGGCCAGGCGGGCGACAGAATGCCTCCACAGGATAGCATTATGTATTCCAAGCACTGAAGATGAACTTTGCCTTCGCGCATCGTTGAACTTCAGCCAACCCTTCTGAAGATGCCTTGGTGGAAGTAGGTGCCATGAAAAGCCCCAGGTGAAGAACGTGTCTTCAAAGAGCGAAGAGACCTGGGACTTGGAGAATTCCACGTCTGGATGCAACCCCAAGTTCATCCGCGCAGAGGTCGTCCCACAATGGTCGAGGCCAATAACTGCAAACTTGATGTTGAAGTCTTTCCAACAGCTGAGCTCTATAAAACGCATACGGTGAGGAGGGATCTCGGCTGGGAAGCCCATGTAGTTTGAAACATAGTCCTCTACGAGCGGTGGCAGTTGCCGCCTGCTGCAGATGCCCGGGGCACAGAAACCAATGCCCATCGGACGTAAAAACGTTGTTTTCTCCCATCTTGCCCGTGAGTTGGTGCCCGATGTGTTCGTCGGGAATTCGACAGACCATAGCACCCCGCCTATCGCTCGACAATCTTCCAAGGCACGCACGGCTGCTGCAAAAATCTCTTCAATCTGAGTGAACGGGAGGCTGTAGTATTCGCCGGACCTTCGTGCTGCTGTAGGGATAAACAAGGGGGCTCCCAAAAATCTACCTACATAAAAGGTCTTGTGCTTATCCCCGGATTCACCTATTTTTGTATCAATGGGCGCTTGTGTTGGGATGATATGTATAAACAGGCTGACAATAAACATATTCCCCGGGGAAGACTTTCCGGGCGCAAGGGGAGTAGGAGTTTAAATTACGTAGCCAGAATGCCCCAAACAAATGACCTTGGAGATTTGTTCGCAATAAAAAAGCGGTGACAATAATTTCTTCCGGGCCCAGATTCCCCCCAAAAAAATGCCAGGATAAGTAACTACGGTACCAGTGCTATTGTTATTGCTGCTGCTGCTGCTACTACTACTACTACTACTACTAGTACAAGTACAAGTACAAGTACAAGTACGAGTACGAGTACTAGTACTAGTACTGGTACTACTATTACTACTACAACTACATCTACATCTACATCTACATCTACATCTACATCTACATCTACATCTACATCTACATCTACATCTACATCTACATCTACATCTACATCTACATCTACATCTACATCTACATCTACATCTACATCTACATCTACTTCTACTTCTACTTCTACTTCTACTTCTACTTCTACTTCTACTTCTTCTTCTTCTACTACTACTACTACTACTACTACTACTACTAAGCCTCGGACACGGCGAAAGGTTTATTGTTGCCACCCTCAGCCCAAACCCTTGCCCAAGAGACCCCGCGCCAAACAACCTCAGGGGTGGGATGGGGTGTTATTAAAACCACCCCAACATTGAGCACCGGACTGCAGTGTAACTCGGCATCCGGTGCCGCCGAAGCCATTGTTCTCCAAGTAGCGCTTTTCACACGCATTGGGTTCGTCCGCGCAAGAAACCATCCATGCGCCACATGCCAGGGAGATGTAAAGGTGGCGCATGGCGTGGGCTGTGGAGTGGGTTGCCTAAAATAGGGGCCTGAATAGACGGAATCAGTTCGAAAAGTCGAACCCTATAGGGACATCAGGGAGCAATATATGATTGTTTATTTCGATTCGATATCATACCCCGAAACCCTTTCCTTTTTCGAGGCCCCTATAGCAGAGTGGGCTGCATAACCCACGGAAAAACATTGATCCAATACCGCGAACCTGCATGACCGAACCTCGACACTAAGGGAGGTTTAGGATGTAGACTGCAAAACTTTAGAGTGCCAGGGCTTTAGGGTTTGAGGGTGCTTTGGGGCATAAGTGTTAAGGTTTAGGGTCTTATAGGGTTGTCGGCATTAAGGTTTTAGGGTCTAGGGCATAGGGCCAACATCAGTGTTCAGGAACTACCGAATTCAATCGCCACGCATGTTAGACTGCGCAAAAATCCGAAGCTTCGAAGGTCAAACGATCCCCTATTGGATCTTTTTCTTCTTCTTGTGTCTTGGTAAGCTGGGCTCAGGGCACAGGACTAGTACTTATGGCTCTTGATCCTCGCGTGTTAACGAGGACCAGTGCATTCATTTTGGAAGCGTTTTGTGTAGCCAAGGGTGAAAGGGGAGAGTGGAGCTGCAAGTGCCTGCTAGCCTAAACCTTAAACTCTAAACCCAGACCTTTTAAATGGAAGTTTCCGAAAATGGGGGACCCTAATATAGCACCCTAAATAGTAGGATCCTTATAATAAGGACCCTAAAAAGGAACCCCCAACTATCGGAAACTCCCACATGGGTCCCTAAGTAAACCCACGTCCCTAAAACCGAAGCTTTCGTCTCTCAACCGGTCGCCGGGTCACTGTAGGCACGAATTTATAGGCACATCCCTGCCTTATTGGGCTTCATTATATAGAAATTGTTAAGGGTGTGGGTGCTGAAAACGTTTTGACAGAAACTTTTGAACGAAACGTTTTGACCGAAAGTCTTGACCGAAAGTTTGGACCGAGAGTTTTGACCGACAGTGTTGACCGAAAGTTTTGACAGGCTTCCTTCATGAACTTGGCTTTTTAGTTGGCGCGCCGGGAGGCTGGGCTGGGATCTGGGGCTGGGCTTGCCTTTAAAAGCTGGGCTGGGCTGGCTGGGCTGTTGGGGACTGGGCTGGGCTGTGCTGGGAACGGGCTGGGTTGGGGTGGGTCTAAAGGGTCCTATAAGTCCTAAGCCCTAAACCCTTTCCGATTTGACCTCCACGCACGAATCGTCTTGAATCCTAAACCCTCAACCCTAAACCCTTTTCGATTCAGCTTCGGTATGTTCACTCCGCGCACGAGTCGGCTTGAACCCTAAACCTTAAAACCTATATCACGTCGACTTCGTGCAATCTAAACTTTAAACCTGGAACGCTACTCACATCTACTACGAAACATAAGACCTCTGACATTTAAAAGCTACACACTTGGTCTAAACCCTAAACGTTAAACCCTGTTTGTAGAAGTTTTGGTCTTATTCGCTGTGCAAAACATGAAAACCATCAGCTTATTTTGCGGTATAGGTGTCTTGTCGGTGCAAAATATGAAACCAATCAGCTTATTTTTCGGATATGATTACTTCCACGCACGAGTCGTATTGAAGCTTTAGCCCTAAACCCTAAAACCATTTCGATTCAGCTTCGGTATGTTAACTCCACGCACGAGTCGTCTTGAACCTTAAACCCTAACCCCCTTTCGATCTCGTACAGTCTAAACTTTGAACCTTAAACACTAGTCACGTCTACTACGAATCACAAGAACACTGACATCTTATAGCTGCACACCTGGTCTAAACCCTAAACCCTATTGCTAAATTTGGTGACCTCCCGAAGATGCTGATCTGTGCCAGGCTCGCTGCGCAGAACCCAAACCTTGCTTTCGCCAGGCGCCGTACGTGACGGTAGCCGAGATTCCGCAGAATGCCTTCGTCCACCATCAGACAGCCGTTCCTTTCTCCTTCGATAGCCGAGTAGGACACCACGCGGTCCAGCAGGTCGCGGAGGGGGTGCTGGCGCAGATCCCGAATCTCCAGGGCTTCGCGCTGCCGGCGCACGGCCACCTCGCTCTCCACTTCTCTGCAGCGTATCTTCGTGAAGGCCTGCAACGACGACGCCGTTTGCTTCAGAAAGGGACGCAAGGGGTTGCACGTCTTCTCGATGTCCAGCAGCTGCTGTGGTAGCTCCAACGGCCACGACGTTGGCTCCACGGACCTTCGGCTTGCCACAGCGAGCTTTACTGGCCCCAAGCGGGAACCGTGGAGAAATTCATGACGCCACTCAGAAGGCAGTGTCGGGCAGCCTAAGGAGTGCATGTGCAGTTCCCGCCAGGCACCGGCGCACGAGCACGCCGGCTGGGGACAGCAGGTGCTGCAGCCGCTGCTGCCACGCCCTTGGCGCCCCCGCTGCTTGGGGAAGCCACTGTGCCACCGGAGAACGGCGCCGGAGCTCGACAAAAAATTACTTCGAGCACTGGAGCTGTAAAAAACGATCTTAGATACCTGAAGGGCCCCAAAGACGTTAATCCTCGAGCTTCGAGGCGTCAAAACAGGTTGTTTGGTATACGGTGCACCTGCAACCTGGAATCTGAAGCTTAAACCTTTGCACGAATCCAAGAACCCCCGGTCTGAGAGTCTTCGGGTGCTCGGTATAAAGGCGAGGCTTCGATAGTACGCCACGTCCTCCGAATCGCGACGCACTTAGGGATTTTTCGGAAGCGCTGCAGGGTGAAACCAAGACAGTCGGGAAGACATACGGAATTGTAGACATACCGAGCCGCTGCGCATCCTGCAGATGCATATCAGGACGTCCGAATCACTTCGTCCGTGCAAGTTCTGCTGCCATAACAGGCAACCGGACTGCGCATTATGCATGACAGGCTGCACGGGCAATGCGAAACTGGCATAGGCAATGCCTAATCGGCAAGTAATTCCCTTCAGCGTTAGGCAGCTGCCACGGCAGGGGTGCAGTTTACCGAATCGTGGAACCTGGACCGGGACATGCATGCTTGCACTGGTTGGTTTAAAAAAAGACATCGGGCTGTTGGTTATGAACACCTGTGCAGCGAAGGAACACGACGCACTCGCCAGATGCGAGGCTGATGGCTGGAGTCCATAAGGTGACCCTCCACCTGCGGTGCGATTACATGTGACAGACGTGCCATCTACACCTACGAAGCTAAGTGTCTGCCATTTTGCCTGGCGTCCAGGCGAGAGGCAGCATCCGCGTCGGTTGCTGGGCTGATGGGAGCACTTCCTCGCTCGACTGTGTTGTCCAGATGTGCTCAAGGCGACGAAGGCGGGATGTTGTGACATTACATGAGATCCCTCCGCTCGGTCCTAGGCTCGGCTTGGTTGCACCCCATGAGCTCGGCAAGTTTGCGAAGCAGTGAAGCTTGGAGCCTAGATACGCTTTGCCTGTTTCCACTAGGCATGCCTGGCATGAGCTGTTAACGCAGGGACGAAACTTCCAGCTCTCCTGGGCCGCCGATGAAACGAGTGATGGGACTTTGTCGAGCCGTGTAATATGTAAGTCGGAGCGCACTCCGGGAGTGAAATGGTGCGGCCTGGAACCCTAAGGAACCCTTGTATAGGAACTAGCGTGTCCAACTAGCATCCCTGTGTTTAGCCTTTTGAGTGTTATTTAGAAACCAGCGTGTTCAACTAGCATCCTTGCTGTTGGGGTGCTTGACCTGGCTAGGCTTACGCGACAAGCAATTTCAATTTATTTTTTGTTTGAAGGGTTTAGGGTTTAGGGTTTTATATGGGATATCGCTATCCTCATTCTTGCTTATGTGCTTTTTTGGGGGCCCTAGAAGTAAGCCCCTGCACCTCGCGCTACAAGCATCACTAAACTCCTCCTCAAACCCGCTGCACCCTCTAAAGATGCAAAGCCGCCTGATCCTTCGCATAATCCTGCACTACCCAAAACAGAGCATACGGTTGATGAGATAAATCCTGCATTCCCTCAAGGACCCTAAACTATGGGAATTCTGGTGTATTCCTTATATTAAGGGCAATGCAGGAATGTTATCAAACAAGCCGCTCTTCTTGAAGGGCCTTCAAAACAGATCCCCATTGCAATCCTAGTCTGGGGGTCTACTAATCAGGGGGTCTACGTTAAACCCTAAACCGACCAACTCCCTGAACTTTATATCCGAATCCAAAAAGTTCCCCCAATAATGCTGTACCAAAAACCCTAAATGCTAAAAAGCCCATTCTCTTCAAAACCTACCCTAAGGCTCCATGTAACCATATAGTAGGTACTTCGGCCTTAAAGGGGTCCCTCTATGGGTACTTTCATGCCCAAGTACGTACTACATGGGTACATGGAGCCTTTGGGCGACTTCCCACCACCCCAAAGATAGGGGACCCTAATAGAGTACCCTAAATAGTAGGATCCTTATTTTAAAAAATGACCTAAATAAGGTACCCCTATCTTCGGAAACCCCTACTTCCCACCACCCCAAAGTTAGCGAACGAGGGCCTCGAAGGAGCTAAAGGAAGCAGTGCCCAAACCTCAGTGAGGTTAGGGTTCAGGGGTTTGGGGCCTAAAGTTCAGTTCAGGGTTTGGGGTTTAGGGCCCAGGGTTCAGTTTAGGGTTTAGGGTTTAGTTAAGGTCTAGGGTTTAGGGTTTCCCCTTTCTCATCCTCTGCGGGAATGGGATTTAGGGTTTAGGGCTTAGGAGCACCAGAAAAATGTGCGATCCTCGGAGGTTGAGGTGTAAGAGGGTCTTTAGGACTAGACGGTTCAGGGCTTCCGGGTCTAAGGTTGCATAATGTCGCATATTCTGTGGTTTTGGCTTCTCGTGCTTTACGGATATTGGCATGTTGAGAAAGTACGCGACGAGGGCTCAATCAGAGGCACTTCGCGCACCAGAGGTGGATAGGAGCCGACATCACGACAGTGAAGCGGCAAAGGACCCTCAATGTGCATATACAAATGTATATGTACATACATACATACTTACATACACACGTGCATACGCACAAACAGTCATGCATACATACATGTATACTTCTTACATACATGCACACGTGCACACATGCATACATGCACACATGCATACATGCACACATGCAGGCATGCATACACGCATACCTACACACATGCAGCAATGCATACGCACGTACATACATGCATACATCCATGAATACAGTCATCATGCATGAACACATGCATACATGCAAGTATGCATTCACGCATACAGGCATGCATACATGCATACAAACATCACGCATACGTGCATACATACGTACGTGCATGCTCACATGCAGATGAGCCCCCCTAGCGTAAACCTTAAAACAACCGGCAGACGCTTCGGTTCTACATCCTTTGGAAGACTGCCAGGAAGCTTTCGCTTGGACTTGCGCTGGCAGTAGATTTCGGTGCCAGAAGGGATGAAGAATCGGCTTTGCCGTCAGATTTCGCGGTCCTCTTTTTGAGCTTCCTCGGATCGAGGACCCTTTCTATATCTGAGCATCCTTCGACCTAGGCCCCACAAAAGGGCTTTCCTTGTCTGGGGTAGCTTCTTTAAGGGTCCTTATGCGAAGGCTCGTAGTAGTTAGGCTTCATACCAGGGCCCCTTCTGAAACTCGCATTGCCTCCATGGGTCAGTCAGACTCACAAGCCCATACAGCATCAATGTAAACCCTTGCAAGACAACTTCTGAAGCCCAAACCACCACAGCTACACAATACGTTCAGTTTGGCCCCTAACCACGCCGCGACTTCCCCAAACCCTGTACCCCCGGATACAGTAACTGCAATGTGCGCAATTTCAAGCCCTACGCAAATGCCGTCAGCTCCGGCGGCGCAACCTGACACCCTAAACTCTAACTCTAAAGGTCCGCGAACACTAAGGGTCCAAAGGAACCAATAATTAGGTGATCGGTTTTCGGATAGTAGTTGTGAAGGTTACTATTTTAGAGAGTATATGGTAATTAGGTACTTGGACCCTTAGGGGAACACCTCATAAGAAATGCCTTCCGAGATTCTCAGAGGAGGTCCCTTGGCTCTCGAAGCTGCGAGAAGGGGCTGCGCCGGCAACAGCTGGCCCAAAAGATGGGCCGGAAGGCCCAGGAACGGGGCCAGGAGGTCCAGGTCCAGCCATAGGCCCCGAAGGTCCAGGCATGCCAGAAAGTCCAGCCATAGTTAAACCCGAAGGACCAGTCTTAGCGCCAGAAGGTCCAGCCGCAGGACCAGAAGGTCCAGGCATCAAACCAGAAGGTCCAGTCTTAGGGCCAGAAGGACCAGCCATTGGGCCAGAAGGTCCAGGCATCAAACCAGAAGGTCCAGTCTTAGGGCCAGAGGGTCCAGCCATAGGACCAGAAGGTCCAGGCATCAAACCAGAAGGTCCAGTCTTAGGGCCAGAAGGACCAGCCATTGGGCCAGAAGGTCCAGGCATCAAACCAGAAGGTCCAGTCTTAGGGCCAGAGGGTCCAGCCATAGGACCAGAAGGTCCAGGCATCAAACCAGAAGGTCCAGTCTTAGGGCCAGACGCACCAGCCATTGGGCCAGAAGGTCCAGGCATCAAACCAGCAGGTCCAGTCTTAGGGCCAGAGGGTCCAGCCATAGGACCAGAAGGTCCAGGCATCAAACCAGAAGGTCCAGTCTTAGGGCCAGAAGGACCAGCCATTGGGCCAGAAGGTCCAGGCATCAAACCAGAAGGTCCAGTCTTAGGGCCAGAAGGTCCAGCCATAGGACCAGAAGGTCCAGGCATCAAACCAGAAGGTCCAGTCTTAGGGCCAGATGGTCCAGCCATAGGACCAGAAGGTCCAGGCATCAAGCCAGAAGGTCCAGCTGTAGGACCAGGCGTGGGGCCAGGGGCAGGTGCAGAACCTTGACGCGGACTTGCGCATGGTCCTGGTCCGGACGTGCTGGCTAAGCCTCGAGGTCTCTTTAGCTCATGCTGTTGTGCGGACTCTGGGGCAGGACTGGCTGTGATTAATTACATGTTTTCGGAAAGGTCTTTTGAAACCCGAGGTATCTTTGAGGATTCCCAAAACTCACCGAAAACCTGTATAAAATTTGTGGAAAACCTTCTAAGCTGCCACCCAAGACACCCGGACGAGGACCCGGGGGACCAGGCGATGGACCAGGCGGACCAGTTCCAGGGCTAGGACCCATGGAGCCCGGTCCAGTCCTCAGCTGGAGGAAAGCTTTAAGTCTTGGGGACGGAGTTACGAATTTCGAGGTCTCGGCCAGGGTGGATGAAGTTTAAAGTAGTAGGTCGAGCCCAGCCCTTGTTCAACATCACTTTCAGCTTCGGTTTCAGGAGTTTGCGAAGCGATGGCTGACATCAGAGTACTGCGAAAGCGTGAATGGAAGAGTCCAACGGAGTCTGGGCTTAGCCAGTTGGAACACGCATACTTAGTGCTTTAACGCTGTCAGAAGCGACATGCCTTCAAGTAGGAATCCTCCAATAGGTCGCACATCATACTACAGTTACTGCAGAGTGTTAAACTTTCAGTGTGTAGATATCCGCAATCAATCCACCAAGTCTTAGCCGCGGTATACTCAGTGCTCGCACAACCTGAGCAACTACGACAACCTGCAATCAGAGAACACCAGCAAAATATCTTAGCGCTGGCAGGCTCTGAGCTGTAGAAGGTTCTTTGCATGTTGCAGTCAGTATGACCACTGTATCAGGAATAAAACGGGAATCTTCTGGCTAGCTCCTCCAGCCCCGTAATTACTCATCTTATCCCTTATAGGGCTCCTTATATAAAGTATACCTTCCTATACCCCTATTTTCATTTTGAAGGGACTAGATTAAGCTCCAGCATCTCAGCACGCTGCCCCTGTGGCGTTCCGAGAGGGCGCGGCCCTGCGGTTCACCGGGCTTTCGAACTGCATCTGCATGTGATACTGTTTAGGGTTTAGGGGTTTAGGGTTTAGGCTTTAGTGGGGTTTTAGGACTTGAGGCTCAAAAAGACAGGGTTTTGGCGGGCTTTGGGGTTTGTGGATTTGGGAATTTCCGAAAATAGGGGACCCCAATATAGCACCCGAAATAATCGGATCCTTATTAGAAGGACGCCACAATAAGGTACCCCCCCCCCCTATTTTCGGAGACTCTCATTTAGGGTGAAGAGGGCGTGGGGCTTGGGATCGGCCTGGACCCCTGCGATTGCAAAAACGACGAGGAACTAAGAGACGAGGGTCCTCGAAGAGTGTCGCCGTAAGCCCAAGACGGTTTCGGGTTTAGGGGTTTCGGGGTTTAGGGTTGAGGGGTTTCGGGTTTAGGGGTTTTGGGTTTAGGGTTTAAGATTTTGGGTTTAGGGTTTTGGGTTTAGGGTTTCAACCACTAAAGCCGGCTTGCAGGGTAGTGCGGGCATATGGTACTATACTTACATACTGCTGATGGACAACATCCTGCATGACCCTAAGGACTCTAAACTATGGGAACTATGGTATATTCCTTATAATGGGTAATGCAGGATATTTTCCATCAACAGTAGGGCTGGTATTATCATTGCATGACTCCTGCTAAGCCTCTTACCCTTCAACCCAGCAGCGACAGGATCTAGAAGAAGGTGTTCAGCCCCAAACCTACGGTTGATGATATAAATCCTACATGACCCATAATAAGGAATATAGCATAATTCCCATAGTTTAGGGTCCTTAAGGTCATGCAGGATTTATATCATCAACCGTAGCACCCTGAAAACAGAAACGATAGGTCGCACTAGAGGAAAGCAAGAACAAGACCGAACACCGGAAATCTTAGAGGGTGTTATATACCTCTCCCAGGTGTGTCAGCACATGTTGCGCTTCAAGTGCAGCAGAAATCAGAAACCTAAGCAGCATAAACAACCAACCACATCAGATTCAGTAAATTGACGTGCTTCATCCAAATGATATTGGATGTCCAATGATTGCATTGAAGGGCGGCTCCAAACCACGAGCAACCTTACCGAGGGGGAACACCTTGCTCAAAGCAAACGCGACCAGGGTGCCGCCACACTGCGCTGGCGAACCCTAGGCCCTAAAGCCCAAGCCCCAAAACCCCCAACTCCTGACCCCTAAACCCTTAGCCCCAAAACCCCAAACCCCCACCTCCTGACCCCTAAACCCTAAGCCGCAAAACCCCAAACCCTCCAATTCCTGACCCCTAAACCCTAAGCCCCAAAAAACCCCAAACCCCACCTCCTGACCCCTAAACCCTAAGCCCCAAAACCCCAAACCCTCCAACTCCTGACCCCTAAACCCCAAGCCCCAAAACCCCAAACCCTCCAATTCCTGACCCCTAAACCCTAAGCCGCAAAACCCCAAACCCTCCAACTGCTGACCCCTAAACCCTAAGCCGCAAAACCCCAAACCCTCCAACTGCTGACCCCTAAACCCTAAGCCGCAAAACCACAAACCCTCCAACTGCTGACCCCTAAACCCTAAGCCCCAAAACCCCAAACCCTCCAACTCCTGACCCCTAAACCCTAAGCCCCAAAACCCCAAACCCCCACCTCCTGACCCCTAAACCCTAAGCCCCAAAACCCCGAACCCCACCTCCTGACCCCTAAACACTAAGAACTCTAAGCCACAAAACCCCAAACCCTAGGTCCCAGCATGCCTGGAGCCGAGCCAGACAAGGGCCTGGGCCCAGGCGGTGTCCTTGGAGCACGAACAACAGCTATACCCCCTTAGAACCACGATACAAATAGTATGTTTGATATCCTCTTGGGCTTTATATGAACATAAATAAAAAATAATGCCTAAAAAGACTATAGACAACACTTCAGAGGCTGTATGTCGGATTTCGGGTTGAGGAATTGGAATGTGTAGTTTGGGGGAGGGGGGGAGGGTACAGGGTTAGGGGCGGTTCTGAGTCTTGGGGATGAGTGAAGGTGAAGGGGGTCTCTTGCTGGATTTCTAGCATGGCTGGATGAGGATGATCAAACCCAAATGTCAACTGAAACTAGCCCGGGCTGCGGTGATGGTTTGACTCAAGTCGAGTTTCCGGTACAAGGAGTCCGCAGTGGTTTTTTCAAGTTTCGGTGTTCATGGTCGGGAATGACGAACCCAGAGAGTAGGTTGCTTTGCCAGGCACCTGGATGGTGTGGTAAATCTCGCTGTTACCAATTTCGACGGCGTAGCGTGCGAGCAGTCTGCATGTCCCCACAGTGCTCCTCTCGCTCATCTCGTTTTTTTTTGACGAGCCGTAACCCTAAACCCAACACCGTAAACTCCGTAAGCCGCAACCCCCCAATCGGTCCAAACTTGCAAAATGTCCTATAGCCCGTGTCCTGCACGCTTGCATGTCACGCAAATCTTCAGTCCTTGACAATGATTCCCTCGCAAATCTCGCTTATGTGAACCATAAGGCCTCTTTAGCTACATGTTTGCTCGAGAACCCTCTTTGCCGACTGCAGAGAACAATCTGCCAAAGAGATGCTTCAAACACACCACCATGGTTGCAATCATGGCCCTAAACCCCAAACCGTGTTGGTTCCCATGGGTCTTGACTTTCCGTGTCGCTGTGATTCGAGCGGTCGCTCCCCGCCGGTCCTGTTCGGTTGTCATGTCCCCTGTCATGGTGATGCTGATGGTGACGACGGTAGTGATGATGGTAGTGATGGTGGTGATGACTATCCTGATGACAACAATCTCTGGAGAAGGCCACTTGTAGATCTGTCTGAGCTATCCGACAGCTTCAAGAAAAGGGCCGTCACACCGAATACAAGCCCTGAGCCCTCAACCCCAAACCCCAAACCCGTAAACCCAAAACCCCAAACCCAAAACCCCTAAACCCCGAAACCCTAAACCCCAAAAATCCAGGCTATGACTCCAAGCCCAAGCGTCAAAGGCCTTGGCCCTGGACTCGCCGTGATCATCGGACCCAACTCAGCTGTGAGCTCCTTTGGAGTTTAGGATTTGGATTTAGGGTTTAGCGTGTGGTTTTAGGTTCGGATTGGCTAAGATGCCTTTTCGTTTAAGGGTTTGGGGTTTTGGTAAGGTTTGGGATTGGGGGCTTTAGGCTTATAGGGCTGTGGATTCAGTGGCAACTTCGATGTCCTCTAGCACTACAGTCGGCACTGCTAGCCGCACCAGCGATGCACTGCTACTGCTGCTGCTCCCCTAACTAGGATACCCAGTAACCTAAGAATAAAAAGGCCTCTCTTTTTGGTATTGGGTAACTTTATAAGGAACCTAGGACTAGAAAAAGGGAATAAGGGTACTACTGGGCATCCTAGCTAACCACGGCCACTACCATTACGTTCGAGAGCTTGGGGTATGTCATACCAGTCGCGGACTTGAAGGAGGGCTTTGGAGTTAGGTGTTTCGAGAATGGGCCCTCAGGGCTCAGGTGATGAACCTTATGCTTGATTTATCAGAATGAAACCCAAGAAGCCCCAAACCCGAAACCCTAGGCCCTAAACCCTAAGCCCCAAAGCCTTAAACCCTAAGCCAGGAAGTGTAGAGCTTTGAACCCGCAGCCCCGCAGGCCACATGCATTAGACAACATCTCAAAGCCCAGGGGCACCCGAAACCCTAAAAAACTCTACAAAGACACATTGAGTATACACCTGTCGAGACCCACTAAAGGCCGAAAGCCAATAACAACCCCCTAATGTAGGAACCTGATTAAGAAACCCTGGGCCTATAAGCCCAAAATAGTAGGGTTCATATAAGGAACCCTGTTTAAATCCTTGAAAGCCCCAAGAACCCTAAACCCCAAACCCTAAACTCCAAAACCCCTAAACCTTAAGCCCGGAGCCAGGGCACCGGGTGCGGCGGCGGAGCGAAGCGCGCGTTCACGCGTGGCTCAGAAAGGCCCGGAATGAGCTCCGCGCTTGTCTGAAGCACACCGGGGCCTGGGTTGTTGGGCTTTGAATACAAGATTCAGGGTTTCTGGTTTTGAAGTTTTCTAGATGAGAAAGGGGTTTGGGGGTCTCTCAGGCGATGTTTTGTGATAACCTGATCAAATCTTCAGACCTGTGTATTACGAGGTTTTGTGGCTTCGGGCATAGGAGTAGGTTGGCAAGGACTTAGAGTTTATGCTGTTTGAGTTGAAAGGATATCGGATGGAGGGCTGATTTCCTTTCTTCAGGATTTAGGGCATAGGGCTGATTTCCCTAAAGATCTAAGGACACAAAGTGTAAGGATTTTGTGTCCAAGGGCTGTACTACCAAATTCTCCAGCTATTTTGAGCCTCAGGATTATTCATTGCTTTAGAGGATGTAGGCTTTGGGGTTGGTCAGGGTCTGACGTTTGGGGTTTACAGATTGAGTTTCGTTCAGCGCTTCAGGAATTTGCGTCAAGGTCCGTACTAACACATCTCGAAAGATTCACTTAGCAGGGCTTTGGAATCAGGTCTTGCCAGTTTTGGCTTGTTAAAAGCCTAAACCCTAAACCCGTGCATGCCTCCCGGCTCCCACCAAAGCATGTGTCAAGCCCCAGGCTAACAACAACCAATGAACTGATCCGTGATCCGTGCATTGACAACGTCTGACAAGTTGACAACGACATACTCTCATAGTCCCTATCTATATATATATATAATATTAACGGAAATACCTATACGACATAACATACTGAACCCCGAAACCCTATTCACTCGAGGACCCTGCAACGCACCCCGCTGCAGCCGAGGTGCTGGGCAGTGGCACGGCCTCCTCCACTGGGTCTTCCGGCCTTTGCTGATTTTAGGGTTTATGGTTTTAGGGTTTAGGGTTGCGAGTTTGGGTCTCTAGGCTTTAGGGTTGGGTTTTTGGGGCCTAGGGTGTTTAGGGTTTAGGGCTGGTAGCATTGGGTTTTGGGTTTCGGTGACCTTGTCAAGGGAACGTGTCAACTTGCTTCAGCGTTTCTGAAGCAGGCATCATTAGTTTAACAACGCGACAAAGCCTCGCACCAAACCTAAGTGAAGTCCTGCCAAAACCTGGAGGAAAAGATTACCAAACCATGAGCCCCCAAAGGCCTAAGCAAAAGCCGTGACACCCTGCATAACGTTCCTAAGCACACAGAGAACGGCAATCACGAAATCTCAACTCAACTTACTTAGGGGTACTCAGAAATAGTTTGTATTTTTTGGCTATTATAATCCCTAAGAAACCGCTAAAATTATAATTTTTGCTAGGGTTCTAAGTTCAGTATAGTTAGCCCAGCTAAACAAGCCCAGGTCTCTGACTGGAAAGGCCCGGATAGCTTGCTTAGCAACTCTCAAAAGGGAAAAAGGAGGGACCCTTAATGGGGACCCCTACCCTTTAATGGGCTAAATAATGGGTATATAAAGGTATATACCTAGGGGTCCTTATTAAGTGTTCCTCCTTTTCCCCTTTGAAACTCAGCTCTTCCCCTAGGAACCCTGATCTTTCAAAGCTGCGTAAGCCATCCTAACCATGCACTGATGACAAGCTAGCGCCAAGCCCTAAGACATGAAAAGGAAACCCCTAAACACCTATATGGGAGTTTCCGAAAATTAGGGTACCTTGTTTTGGGGTCCTTGTAATAAGGATCCTACTATTTAGGGTACTAGATTAGGGTCCCCTATTTCCGGAAACTCCCATATAATTCCTAAAGCCCGGAGCCCCCCCAACCTAGAACCAAAACCGTAAACGTCAAAAGCCGAAACCTCTGGAGGCCCCAACATCCTGCCGCAGAAATCCCGAAACCCAGTACTCCTGAAAAATGAAACCCTGAACTCTTATGCGACCTTTGTACAAAGGCTTGTAGAAACCCTGCAAAGGAACCCAAGTTCAAAACACCCCAAATCCCAAGAGCCTAGCAAGCCACGCCCAAATCCGAACCGTTAAGGGAACCCTTAATTCAACCCAGAACAGCCCCACATCCCTTGAAGGATCTCTTACAGAAGCCGCGGAAGGAACACGGGGTTAGGGGTTTACGGTTTAGGGACAATCCGGATTTCAAGCTCCGCGGCATCTGTGGTAGGGGCCGCGGAGCCAAGTCCTTGCAGTCATTCAGACTTCCAACAAAGCGTCCGTGCTAGACGGGCCGTAAGGATTAGAATCGGGGTTTTGGTTTTCGTGTGCTAGAAGAACGTTACGCAACACTGTTGGTAATTATTCAGGTGTTGCCGTAAGGGTTCTGTAAGGTTTTGCAAGGGTGCTTTGAGCGTTCTAGAAGAGTACGTTTCCATGCTTAGGGTTTGGGACGGTGTGGGGTTAAGAGCCATAGAGACCTGGTTACAAGTTTAGGAGCTTAAAGTTCAAAATTGGGGCTTAGAGCCCATTTGGGGCTGCAAAGGGGCTCTTGGAAAAGTTTCTCTAGAGGTTTACTTATGTACCTAGAAAATGTACACGTAGGGCTTGCGATATGGTGACGGTAGGGCCAAAATGTGTCTGCAACCATAGTTTACCGTTGGATTGAATGTTGAAGGGTGAAGCGGTTTGGCTTTTAAGGGGGTAGGGCTTACGGCTTAGGTTTAAGAGTTTAAGGCTCCAGTGTAGAAGTCAAACTGGAGCAAAACCCGTCAACAGAGGCCACAGAATCCTCACTGCTACCAACTCTTATGTAAAGGCTTCTGGCATTGAAAGCTGGCTGTTCATCAATACACTTCTGAGCAGGATGTCGGGTTCCAGACCAAAGCGGGCTGTGGGAAACTCAGCGTTCAAGACGATCAGTTCCGTTGTCAGCAAGTCTTATTGAGTTGTTGGTATGACTACTAGCAATACTACTGTTTTACATTGTCTGTCATCCTGACACTATATATGCTTTGTGTCACTCTCACGCCCCGAACCCGTTGGTTGCTAGCATGGTTCCATACTCTAAACCCCACCCCTACAGCATCCTAAAACCTAAATCCATCAACTCCAAACCCTAAACCCTGACAGCCGTGAAGTATAAACACCTACTATAGGGGCCGTAAATATTCGAATAGGGTTTTGGAGCCCATTATACTATATATATATATATATACTAATTTTAAGGACCCCCAAAATAGTATAGGTAACTAAAGGGGCCCCTATAATCAACAGCTAAAAGCAGATCCGGGCGCCTTGGTCGTAAAGTTCGTAGCCATAGGCTGGCCCCTTGCTGGGGGTGCTGCATGCGGTGTGCCTTGCAAATGAACGTGTTTAGGGGCCGTTAGGGTTTTTAGGTTTAGGGTGTAAGTGTAAGGTTTAGGGGCCGTTAGGGTTTAGAGTTTGAAGTTTAGAGATTGGAGGCTTCAAGCTTTTAAAGTGTAGAGTTTACGGTTTGCGGCTTAGGCATTCGGGTTGAGGAGTTTCGGACTCAGGTGGGTGTCTTGCTGCAGTGCGTCCCCTGAAGCTTCCGGAGCTACCAGCCGAACCAGTCAGTCTTAACCGTCTTCACCCTGCTTGAACTATCTTAAAACCTCTCCTTCCTTCCTGACATTGTCTATGGCTACTGAAAAATTGCTTCAAGCCTAAACCCTGTTCAGCAAACCTGGATACTCGGAGCGGAATCTTCAAACTACCTTCCATGGACTTAAGTACTTAAGTACTAAACAGGTTTTAGTTTTTACCAAGTCCGGATGTGGTTTCATGAAACTGAGTTGCATACCATACCGCAGCTGTCACTCATTGCTATCAGCGTCTTCGTCCACAAAAGCCATTGCTATTCCTAGCAGTCGCAGCTGCAGCAGCAATAACAACAAGAAGCATATAGCAAGGAGGACCCAACACTCTGCAGAGCTGCGTCAAGCCAACAGCACCAGCGCCAAAACTAGAAGCCAGCCGCCAGCAGCACCAACCGCCAACCACCGACCACATACCACCAACCAACAACCTCCAGCCACAGTTACAGCCGCAGCCACTACCACTGCGGCTACGGCTACTGCTGCTGCTGCTGCCGCTTCCACTACCACTACCACCACGACCACGATCACTACGACAGCATCAACACACGCACAAAGACCACAAGCAACACTGCACAAACAAATGCTTGCACGAATACCACTGCCACTCCACTCATCAGGAACATGGAACCACCATGGAGCATCAGCGATCATGAAGGTGATGATGGCCCAAACGGAAGCTTCAGTTCACACCCACAACCGCAACAAGCTTGGGCAACAGCAGCTTCGATAGCAGCAGCAATATCATTCGGCTTTACTGACATGTAAAGGGGTAAACTCCGGGCTCTCACATCGAGACTTGGAACTGCAAGAGCGTCGTCGCCTTCGTCCATGTGGCCGTCCTCGTGGTCGTCGCCGTCACCGCCTTCGTCCTCGTGGTTGTCGTAAACGACGTCGGCGTTGCCGCCTTCGTCACGTCGTCGCCGGCGTCCTCGACGGCGTCGTGTCGTCGCAATAGTAGTAGGAGCAGCAGCAACAGATCAACCGCTTACTCGCATTTGGTTAAAACTTTCTGGTCCTAAATGAACTGCGGCCGGGAAGCCAGGAGGTGTCCTCGTCCGCATGGACTGCGCATCCTGCTAGCATGAGCTCGTGAATCACAGTGGGGGCCAGTGTCTATGGCCAGGGTGAAGGTAGATTTACGTGGCAAGTTTTGGGCTGTCAGCAACCAAAACCTGTAGGATGTAATTGGAGGGCGTCTAGGGTTTCTAGCCGCTAGCGAAGAACATCTTCATACCAAGCTGGCCGTCGAACTTATTGAAGCTAGCCCATATACGAGTACAGAACAGTCTTGCTTCTCAAGACTATAACTGCCTCGAAAGCCCCGGGTCTTTGTTATTGACTTTCGGGATTCCATTCCTTCAGGTAACCTACACTCAAAGCCATCTCAACCCTACGCCCTAAACCCAAAGCATCACGATCCGAGGCCGGAAACAGTGCGGTGTTGGACAAAAGCCAAGAATGCTTCGAGAGTATCGTGAGCCGATTCCTAGACGACCTGCGGCTTAAGCATTTGGTGGGGGCTCAGGGCTTGAGGGCTCAGGGCTTCCAAAGATTATTTTTCGGATCTGTGTCGTGGGGTTACCTGTTGCAGTAGGACATAGGCAACAGTAGCTTGCGAGCTCATAGTTAGCTTTGCGGGGTTAACCAATAACAACAGCAGGTATGTGTCATTGGATCCACAGGTCGGCTTTGGGTAAGGTTTTGGACACCGAGGTCAACCAGGTTCGGAAGTCTAACGGAAAGGCGCGACGGTCCGGCTTTGAACCGCACGGCTTGTCGTCAAAAATCCGGCAGGGTTCGAGAGTATCGCCGGGCCGTGAATGATGAGTTTAACAAGGGTTGAGGTTTGGGTGGGTTTAAACGGATCTTGAAAACCTGAGGATTCAAGTCTCCAGACCGTGACCTCTAAAGTCTTTCCTAAACCATATAGTCCTATAGACCTAAATCGAAACCCACGACCATGGTCGCAACTCGGAAGCTGGATCTACGGCACAATCAAGGATTAGGGTGAAGGTCTGTAAGGTTTAAATAGGGTTGAAGGCGTAACCTTAAGGTGTAAGTTTAGGTCCCGCCTTCACCACCGTTTGCGGAGTACCTCGCGCACTTGGGAGTGCGGGGTGTCATGCCGGTTCAGGACGGTTCGTTCCCCAGACTTTTCCGAAACCTCCCGCCTCCCGCCTGTAGAAGATTACGGGAAGGAATAAGGACGTACACGCACTGAGCCATGAACACTACATCCTACAGCCCCGAAAATTAAGCCGTAAACACTAAAACCATACGTGTATGCACTAGACCTGACAACCCTTTCCGGGTTGACTGCCCAAAAAGCCGACGCACCAATCTCGAGCCCTCCTAAAGGCTTCGAGCCTTACTTCGGCACTGTTAAGGGATTGGTGCTTTACGGCTTTTTGTGGTGGCAGAGATTTAGGGTTCTACTGTTCCACGGCTTTGGGATTTTTGGTTTCAGTCTCCCCCATGCTGGAATTCGAGCGGTGTCTACCCGGAAAGTTTTGACTTTGAACCTCGGGCTGTGGAAACATCGTTATATAGGAGCCCTAACAAGTAGAATAAGTTAGTCATGAGGAGCTTTAAGGAACAATAGTGGCATTTGTTTTCAAGCATGTATATAGAGCTCTGAAACTTTGAGCCCTAAAAGTTCACGACTGACAATGTAGACCCCTGCCAAATAGACCTCCTGTCTTTCCACAGTGTTCAGATCCTTCTTTCCGCCCTTGTAAAGGGAGGGGACCGTCATCACGGGCTTACCGTAAACCCTAAGATACACTCAAAACTCACACCTAATTCCTTAGCCTTAGCCCCCATGCAGCCCTAAACCCTAACTCCAAACCCTAGCCCATGGCCGTCGCCATACCCTCGACCCCAAACCTTCAACCCTGAACCTTTTGAACCGTCTGAGTTCTCTGAAGCCGGCCAAGACACGTGGGGAGGCGGCATCCAAGTCTTTGCTTAGTGCCCGGTCTTTCCTCAGTTGCAGAGTTACGGCTTACCGGTCGAGGGCTCAACCATTAAGGTCGTGGTCCCTATCAAGGTTTCGGAAGGACTGTCAAAAAGGTTTCGTAGGAGCCTTTATGCCCAAGCCCCTAACCTCACAACTTGATGCGGTCCTATTTTTTCGCGACAAAGATTGCCGGCACATTCCTTTTTCACCCAGCCCTTCGGCGGCGTTTCTTCGCAGCATCCTCAATGCATTCCCGCCACTCTGGGCACCTTTCCCCATACTGCGGGAGTACTGACCGCAAGTGCCTGCCAAGGGCTCCTTTGGCACCATGAATGATCCCGTTTCAAAACTCCGCCACACCAGGAGGTCCCAGTGGCTGCAGGAGCCTGCCTTGACCTTGGTCTTGCGCATTGCTTGCAAAAAAACCCGTGTAAAAACGATGCACTGGGATCCTTGCACCTGCACTTTGCCGCGATCGCCGTCAGACTTTCGATCATGGCCACCATTGTGGACCGAGAGAAAGCTCAGCCAGCGCGCTGGCCAGTTGACAGCAGCCAAAAGCTCTTCGCTAGTGGCTTCCGTCCTGGCATCCGCTTCGGGGAACCACACGGCCGCCGTAAGTTTGCGCGCGCGCTGCCGCTTTTGAAAAACCTCATTGGCCGGGCACCACTTGTGGTAGCCCCCTGCATGGAGGATTTCGTTTCTTTTGAACAAACTGCCCATATGCTTGGCCTGATGGATCTTGTAATTATCCAGAATTGGACTGCATGGATTGCCTCCTCGGGAAATCTGCAGTGTGACGCTTGCAGCCCGTGGGTGCAGCATGGTGGCCTCCATGGCTCCTGATATGAAAAAGGCATGAGACTCTGATTGGCGGCCCGCTGTCAAGGTCCAAATCGCTTCGCCAACACGGTTAAACTCACGTCTCAACAACTGTGCTTTGCAGGATTTGCCATTCCCGCCGTCAAAGCTAAGCCCACAGGCTTGACATTTGACCCAGGGCGTCGCTGCAGAACGAAAAGGCACAAATTATTTGCCATTTCGGCCGTCAAAACAAATCCCACAAGTTTTACAGTTGACCCCGGGCAGGACTGCAAAACGAAAGCGGCACACAAAGTATTGGATCCAAAATCAACGCAAATCTAGATTGCAATATATCACAACAGTGGTATGCTGAAGCCCTTCTGGAGGCTGCTGATGTAAACATGCATGTTGAGGTCCTTTTGGGGCCTGCGCATGTTACCCAAAAGGTGCAGTCAAACATGTGCTGAGCTTCAGTTGAGAAACCCACTTGCCAAATGCTTGCAAAATAAAATAAAATCCAAGATGAAGATAGAATCTCCAAGTTCGCAGTAGCTCAGCCGATGCGCTGAAATCTTCGCTGGATGCCGTGAACTTCGCTAAGTACACACGTGGCGCGGCGGACACAATTTTCGTAACGACGATGGAGCACTGGATTAGTGCCCAGTTGACGCACAGAGCACAAGTCTCGCGGAGCCCATGCCAAAGCTGCATGTGCGCTGCACATTGGGAAACCCTGATGGGGGTCACGAGGTCAAAGGTTGCCACGTCCGGGATGGTATGTAGGGTCAAGGAGCACATGACTTCGGTTTTGGGCGTAGGACGTAGCGCCATTGGTCTAAAGGTGAACGGCTGTACATGCCGGCTTAGGCTTAAAACCATAAGCCGAAAACCCAAAATCCTGAACCTTTCTCCTGTGACATGTAGCAGCTTCTTCCCTGCTATGTTCCTGAAGTTCTTTGGAGTTACGGTTCTGCACCGTCGTCAGGGCTTTGAACAATTCTTAGAAAGAGCCAATGGGTTTTCGGAATATCACCATAAACTCCCAAACACCCCCAAGACCCGTAAACCCCAGTCTCTGCAGCTAAGCAACATCATCGTCACTATCCAGGCTGAGTAGGACTGTGTGCATCGGCGGTCCGTTAAGATTCCTACGGTGCTGGCATACAACTGCCGCTCCTGTTTGACATTCGAGGCCCTGACCCTCAAGGCACCGCTCAGCCGGAATCATGAAACTCAAACCTTCAAATGCGAAACTTTCGACTCCGACTCTGTTTCCTGAACGACAAACTCATACCTTGCCCCTAGCCCCAAATCGGCACAGACCCTGAACACAAAACTCCACATCCTCGACCACGCATGGTTTTAAGCTTTAGAAAATCACAAATCCGAACACCCAAACTCCTGCAGATTCGATCCACAAAAGCCGAAAGCTGAGGTTCCATGTAAAGTCCGGAACGATCTCCTCCACCTTTGCAGGATGGCATTCTTTACATTAGGACCAGTCGTAAATGATTTAGGGTCTAGGGTTTAGGGCAAGATGACATTCTGTACTTTAGGATTAGCCTCAAATTCCTTAAATCATGTAGGGTAGAGGCTTTAGGGTTTAGGGCAAGATGGCACTCTTTACTTTAGGAAATGAGGTTTGGGGCATGATTCGGCTTTCTAGCGCCGGGGGGTTTGTTTCTTAAGCTGTTTCGGACTTGAGGTGGCGTAGAGTTTACGGCTTACGATTCTACGACCAGTTACTGCCTTGGCGTGGCGTGGCGTAGGCGATACGTTCGTTTTTTCGGACTGAGTGCATTTAGACTTGCAGCTAACGAACTCATGATAAGCAACCTGAAAAGGGGAGGTTTGGGAGACCCACTAGACCCTAACGTACAACCCCAATAGAGCGGCCTTGATAATTAGAACAGGGGTTTAAGCCCACTATACCATAATTATAATAAGCAGCCCCCAAAACAGTAATCTAGGAACCTGATTAAGAAACCCTGGGCCTATAGCCCCCAAAATAGTAGGATCCATACAGGGAACCCTAATAAAGCCCCAAGGTTTCCTAATCAGGTTCCTACATTATTTGTAGTTATTTGGGCCCCTATATGGGAGTTTCCGAAAACAGGGGACCCTGATATAGTACCCTAAACAGTAGGATCCTTATTATAAGGACCCCAAAATAAGGTACCCCTAATTTTTAGAAACTCCCATATTACGTTCACGGCCTCCTCGTCCATTAGCAGCCTTCTCGTCTCCACGGGAAGTTTCAGAGCGGGCCTCGCACTCAGGGAGCATCGCGCTCTTCGCTTTGAGGGCTCTATACCCTAAGACTCCATGTACCCATATCGTAGGTACTTAGGCCTTAAAGGGGGCCCCACATGGGTACTTTGAGGCCTAAGTACCTACTATATGGGTACATGGAGCCTTTGGGATAATGGAACTACGAAGGGCCTTAGTAAGGGCGTTCTCTAAGACGGGTTCCCCTGAAGCATTCTATAAGTGGGGCTACCAGGGCCGTCAACGAAGGTTCCTTGCAAGGGTTCTTTTACGGAGTTTTGGGGGCTCATGTACAGGGTTTGTGTCTTGGACTTGGGGTTGGGGGGCGTCAAGGTTGAGGGTTCAGAGGCATTGCGCATGTAGGTTGTTGGGGTTTGCACGAAGCTGAAACTTGGATTTGGATGCCGAGCACTGGAGCGAGCTGAAAGTGGTTCATTCTCCGTGTTGAGCAACAATCGTGGCTTCTCAGCTATCAGTCTCAAGTCTCCCCCTGAACCCTAAACCCTTTTGGCACTAAACCCTGAAGTGCAAACTCAGCCCCAAAACGAGTCGGAGCCTGCCCACCACCGCCAGCATGCTCAGCCCCTTCCTGTCAAGCTGTGTAGCGGAGTGGTTCCGGGGCTCAGGGTTCGGGTTTAGGGTTTAGAGCCATACTAAACACTAAATTTAAGCTTCAAGGATCTGAATTTATCTTGTGCAAACTTTGCCGTCCGCCTTGCTGGGGCTGGGGCTCAAGGCTTTTAGTTTAGGGCAGGGTTTCTACTTCTCTAGTGTTGACTTTCTGGTGTTTTCCATGGTTCTGTAACTGCAAGGGCTCCGGGGTTTCGGTTTACGGCTTGCAAGGGTTTACGATCAACCTGGAATCCGCAAACAAAACCCGGCCCTAAACTCAAGTACCTACGAAGCCCCAAAATCCTATTCACGGAACAGCGGGCAAAGGAGCGTAATGCATCCCGCTTCCATGTGCCATTTTTGCCATCAAGACTGCGTGAAGTCTCTTAAGTCTTTCCTTAACCTACCAAACCCCAAACCCTGCTTGTTTGTAGGTTCTGATTATGTGCCCGAATATGGAGTTTATAGGGACCCTACAAAAAAGTAGGGCTGGGTAGGTTAAGGTAAACTCTTAAACACTACCACCATTTTCCGGCGAAGCTGATCTAGGGATCGGGGTCGACCAGCGTTTGTGCATCAGTATTCGGGATCCTCCAAAGGGCTTCGAAAACGGCTCCTTTTGAGGTTATGGCCGTCATCATGTGATGAAGTGCAGCACAAAAAAATCCTACACCCCACCCCGAGAGGCCGCGCTCGAGCTTGAACCGAAGAGCCCGAGCCCTAAACCCTTTAACCCTGAAGCCGGAACCCCCCCACAATTGTGAAGAAGCTCCCCACCCTGTACCCTCCTAAACCCCTTACCCGAAACCCTTATACAGCTCCGAACACCCCCAAAAGTAACTGACTGGGCTCCGGGCCCATCCTGGGGCAACCGCCTGGGGTGGGCTGCGATTTCTGCTTTTAAATTGGAGTAGTTTATTAGGCGCCTTCATGCCTGCGGTAATTTTGGGCACAGTCTTGTTTCAGTCATCCCGACCCTATATTTCCTTCCGAGGATTACATTGCAATATGGGTAGTTGTCAAAACTGTGGTCCCTTTTTGGGTGACTCTAAATAATAGGTGCCGTATTGTACTAAGGACCCAAGAAGGGACCCTAATTTTGACAACCACCCAATATGTAGTACGTAGGGACGAGAAAAGGCACAGCGGAGCCTGCGAGGCTAGGGCGGTTCAAGGCTGAGGATACGGGGTGGTCAAGCATTCTTAGGGTTCCTGAGTTACAACATGTGTATGTGTGTATGTGTATATACTTGTATACCTAGAGAGATGAACAGACAGAGAAAGAGCTGTGGATATAGAGGATACACGTCGATATGGATATCGTCCTTAGTTATAGTACAGCTATAGTAAGAGATATTGTTTTACTAGTTGTAGTTATAGTTGTAGCAGAAGATACCACCAAAGCCATTTTCTGACTGTTGAGGCGCCAGGGGGTTTCCTGCTCCGGGCTCTGACAGGGATTTGGTTTAGGGCTGTGGGTTCAGGGGTTCAGGGGTTAGGGTTCAGGGGTTTAGAAGTTCCGGGTGTGGCTTGCGGATAAGGAGCTCTGCATAGGCCGGGGCTTGTTGGAGTGGAGGCTTGCTGCTGGAATGGGAGTGAAACGGCATAGGGTTTGCGATCGCATCTGTTTCGTAAGCCTGTTGGGATCCCCTTCACTGCTTCACTTCAGTCTTAATGTTGTCGGGCGTTCTAGATTCAAAGCCTTTGTGCTGGCTCGGCATTGAGATTTGGGGACTTGCCTGGCCACTGGCTTGAGGCTTGGAGAATCCTCCATTACAGCATCTGCACAGCCATACATCATCCTAGTCTTCAGGGATGACCGTGGGCTCTGATTGAGGAAGTCGAGAACGCAGTCTACCAATACTTCAACTTGTGTACAGCTTGCACGAACACTAACGATCAAATCTCCAATCGACCCAAGGCACGAACACAGAAACTCAAGACTCTACACATCTTGAAGCCCACAACCCTGCACAACCCCCTAACGAAAACTCTCAGCACAAGAACAGCGATAGACATACACCCATTCCAGCTAGCGATAGCCTTTTGAGATACCCAAAACTCACTTTTTGAACCTTCGGCCAAAGCACCCCGAAACTCTGCACCTCCTGTAGCTAAGGAAAACATAGTTCCCGATCCTGTTGGAAAGTACGCAAAAACTCAAGAACCTAACAACACCCCGAGTAGCCCAAGTACAGATCATGCAACTTCCCAAAAAGCCTGGGTGGGTTTGTACCACCATCGCAGTTGAGCTTGACATCGAACATCACATAGCCTCACGAGCACCCCGGGCCAATCGCTAGAGTTCAATCAACAACGGTTGCGAATTAAGGTCTGGGATGGTCGGGGTCGGGGTTAATATAGGGGCCTACAAAATTACCAATACTATCTTGGGGGTTCCTTATTTTAAGTATAGTATAGTGGGCCTCAAAACCCTATTCCGATGAAGGCCCCGATATCCGTAAATGCCTTATAGTAGCCCTTTAAGGATCCCCTTAGAAGGAACCCTAGTCTAATTATTCAGGCCCCTATATAATTTCGGACATCAAAGCAACATCCATGGTCAGAGCGTAAGCATCTTTGCCTGGATCCTTCGGCTGGTGACTGGGTTGAGGAGTTACCCTCACATGGAACCCCAAGCATCCCTAAACCCTAAAGCCTTAAACCCCAAACCCTAAAGCACCAAGCCCCTAAACCCTAAACCCCTAAACCGAAAACTCTACACCCCAAATACGTCCTCCCCTTTGACCAGACACTAGTCTACAGCTGCCCCGCTTGACTTCTCTTCGATTTTCGGGGAGTGTCCTGGACCACCGAAAGCTAAAGCCCCCAAAAGCACCAAGGCCCTACTTGGAGGGTCGCGAGACTTACTAAGTAGCTACTTTACAGACTTACAAGTATCATGATTTACATATATACAAGTATGTGTGTATATATATATATATATACACACACACACATTGACATGGGTGTAGCCCGTTTATGGTATATAACTTAAGCTCAGCTCCATGACTAGAACCAACGAGAACACAGTCAATGGCTGGAATGGGGCTGGAACTTTGCCTTTCGTCGTTACTTCTAGGCACAGACCTTCCCCGGTTCCAGGGTTTAGGAGTTGGGGGTTTAAGGCCTACTTGGAGGGTCGGGATGCTTAGTATCTAGTTATTTTGTAGACTTTTGATACCACAACCCCAATTTGGATCTTGTTTAAGGGTACTTATAAGTCTACTTTTTCTCTACTTACTACGTCCCCCGACCCTCCAAGTAGGGTTTCAGGGCTTTGGGGGTTGTAGCGTGTTGAGCTTTAAGGTTAAAAAGCCATTCGTTTCTGGCTGTGGAACATCGGGTTTGTCCTCTGTCGGTCCGAGCTCAAGTTTTTCTGGGCGCCCAGCCACAAACACGGCCTCGGCATGCGTGCTACCGATCGGTGGCGGGGTTGATACGTACTGATTTGAGAAAAATAAGCTATTGCCGTCGGTTTGGGGTTTACTACTTTGGGCTTAGGGTTCAGGGTTCAGAGCGTAGCGTCTACTGCCCACTGCTTGGGGTTTACAGTTGCGGGCACAGGCATTTTTCTGCTTCAGGGCTTTTCCCTTGCTGTTCGCGGTTTAGGGCTAAGTTTATCGCTGATGGAGGATTATAAACTCGAGCTGCAAACTGCTCGTCTAATATGGGGGCCTTGATAATTCGAACAGGGTTTTGGGGCCCATTATACTATAAGTACAAAAAGGCCCCCCCCAAAAAAATAGTATTGGTAATGTTTTAGGCCCTTATCGCAACTTGAAGTCAGAAGCACGAGACATTGGTGGTAATTGCTGGGTGCAGAGTTTTGCCTGGCACGGGATCGGCTTTCGAACCAGGGTGCCAAGATGCTTTCAGGCGGGATTAAAGAACTGCTACCCATGCCTCAGAGCCCATGTATCTGTTTAATAACTTCGTATTTCAGTACGGATCGCGATTAGAATTAAAGTATATCACTACTGTATATACGTACCTGGACCCTCCTACAATGCAGATCCCTGGGTGTCGGGTCTTCAGTTAAGACTTGAGCACCCTGGAACACCCGCAAACATGAAACTTCAGAATCCGACCCGAAAGCTCCAGGCAAACATGTAGTAGATACTTAGGCCATCTTAGGCCTTGAAGTGCCTATCTATATCTATATCTATATCTATATATATATATATATACATGTAAATATTATATCTATCTATATATATATAGAGAGAGAGAGAGAGAGAGAGAGAGAGAGAGAGGTAGGGGCCCCTTTAAGGCTTAAGTATCTACTAAAGGTACAATGGAGCCTTAGGGCGACTTGCCAACTTGGGACCGAAGCCACCCAGCGCCCAAAGCAGAGAACAAGGCTTCCCTGCTCCGAGGCTCGCGGTTTAGGGTTTAGGGGTTTAGGGGCTTATGGGTTTAGGGCTTTAGGGGTTTAGGGTTTAGGGTTTAGGGGTTTAGGGGTTTAGGGTTTAGGGTTTAGGGAGCTCTTTTCCAAGAATAGAAGGTGGGACCCTTATAATGACCCCTATGTATATACCCTTAATATAGCTATCATATACCCATAAAAAAGCCCATTATAGGATAGGGGTCCCCATTAAGGGTCCCTCCTTTTCCCCTGCTCCGAGGCTGTAAGGCCCCTCAACTCCTAAACTGGGGGTTTCTGGAAATCAGGGGTACCTTATTCTGGGGTCATTATAATCAGGATCCTACCATTTAGGGTACCATATTAGGGACGCCAAAACCCCAAGACAAATCACCCAATTTGCACCCGACAGGCACGCCCAAACCTAAGCCACACACAAGCGCACCGCTTGGAGCCCTACCGCAGCTTTTATCCGAGCTTAGCTCCCGACATGGCGTAGCCAGGAGATGCTTTAACTGAGCCTGAACCTCGCAGAGAAACTACTTTAAACAAAGGTTGCCTGCACTACCTATGGATCATCGTCGTAATTCAAGGGAGCTGGAACTAAAATCCCCCCCAAACCCTAAAACCCCAGCACCCTAAACCACTGAGAACAACATCCCTAAACCCTAAACCCGAAGACCTGACTCCCCCGACCCTCATAGGGCTCCGGCTACTTCGCACCAGTGGGACCACGAGCTCACCCTCCAAGCCCACCCAGTCCTCCGGTTGTATTTACTTGTCTTCTCCTTAGTAATTCAACATGTCTGTCTTTCTTTTTATCAGTTTTTTTCCGTCAGGGGGGTGCCATCGTGGGGTTGAGGCTTGATAGGCGAAGGACTTACATCAGGAACAGATATACAGTTCCGGAGCCTACACATGCAGGCTTGCTGGGTTCAGGTAGGCCTTGAAGGGTGAGGTTTAGAGCAGCATGAGCTGGGACTGCCCGGGTGGTGCCAGTACAAGTCCTCAAGAGCTCACCAGTATGGTTTACTAGTTCATGGTTGGGGTAGGATTAAAAAAATTACCTTATTGGCTTTAAGTACCCACAAAAATGTAAAATGTTACTCAACTATGACAAAGGTTAAGGTGCAGAGTAATACAAATCCTCACTAGCTCCATCGTAGGATCCTTGCCATGAGGACGCCTGAGTACAGTACCTATCTGCGACCCTATGCAAACCTATAGCCCAACTTACAAAACCCGGAAAACTGACACTGCAAATGCATGGCCCTAAACCCTAGCCCCTATACCCCGAACCCCAAACCCTGAACCCCAAACCCTAAACCCTAAACCCTGAACCCCATACCCTAAACCCCCTAAAGTCCTCGACATCTTGGTCCACCTTTAGGAGCGCCTCACCTAGTAGCTCCTCTGTCTCCGCCTCACCTCGAAATACTTAGAGGTACGGGGGGACTTAGCATGTGGGTAGCAGAGTTATAGGTACCCTATAAGAGATCCTAATTGGGGTTATGGTACTTGCAAGTCTCTAAAATAACTAGTTACCAAGTCCCCCGACCCTCCAAGTAGGATGCTAGGATATATAGGTTGGTGTGTTGGGTCTAGGTTTAGGGTTTGGGGCCAAGGGTCTGTCTTGCGCTGGCTTGAGGATTCAGGATTTAGAGAGTTTTAGCGGCTTTGGAATTATAGGGCTTAGAGATTTAGGCTTTCAGGCTTTCGGCTCTGGCATAGAATTTGGGTGCAACATGGGCTTCAAACAGAGTTTGCCGGTTCGTGAAGAACCATTTCAGAGGACGGCGGCCCTAACACATGGACCTCCAGCCCCGCACCGGCTAGAGCCGACTATCGTACAAGGGCGGCAGTAATTTGAAGGGGGCTTGGTGTATTTTACAGTATAGCTCACTGCAGGCTATGCAGGGATAGTCTTGCCATCTTATGCTTATTCAACCTCTTTGATAATACACCTTAGCCAACACTTGAACACGACACAGCCAACTTCGTTTCAATCCCGACAATGATGGGAGGCCAAAAGGGGGGTTTAAGATTCTTGGGGTAGGGACTACTTAATATGAACCCTATTATGGGAACCCTAATCCCTACTAAACCCCCATAGGCTAAAAGCCCTTTTGGCCTCCTATGAGACAGTCCTAACAATCCCTGGAAACCCCACTTCGTGAAGTCAGGGCTGCCGAACAGGAGCTTCCGCTCCGGGGTTCGGGGCGCTTTGTAGGGGTTTAGGGTTTAGGGGTTTATGGGTTTCGGTTTAGGGTTTTGGGGTTTAGGCTTTGGGGCGCTTTTTGGGCTCTCTCTGTTCAACTATGTGGAGTGAACGCCCAGTGCATCTTATGATCTTCCCTGAAGTATCGCAAACCACAAAGTCTGCCTTCGAGCGTGGCGGTGCGCATTTCAAGGACATTGGGTGGTTGTCAAAATTATGGTCCCTTTTTGGGCACCCTAAATATTAGGTGCCGTACTATACATAGGGAGCCAAAAAGAACCATAATTTTGACAACCACCCACATAGGCATCTCACACTGAACATGTCTGGAACACCCAAGTACATGATCCTCATCTTTGTGTGGTTTGAAGCCTCAGGGCCCGCGAAGTGGCAGAAGTCACTCCGAGCTGAGCGCAGGAGAGAAGTCTCACTTCTACTTCGCTGAACGTCGACAGATCATCGAAGACCTCATCCAGGTTTGGGGGATCAGGCTGCGGCTATGGGGTTTCGCGGGTATCAAGGGCGTCGAACTGTCTTGGAGGTGGGGTATTACTTAATCCTAAGCCCCAAACCTAATTAAGCCCCAAACCCTCAAGGAAAATACGGGACCGGTTGGTTGATGCTGCAAAAATGTCTTTTACTAGTCCAACTCGCAGCAACGTACGTGACATGCCGGACGGACCTGGATGAATCCTGCAAATACCTCCGGTTGGCTGTCTGCTCAGAGGCAGTACTATTACAGAGGCAGTACTATTATAGGGACCTTAATAATTAGAACAAGGTTTTCGGCCCCATTATACTCCAGTTCTCATAAGGAGCCTCCAAAATAGTATAGGCAACTACTAGGGTCCCTAAAGTAAGTAGCGGTAGAAGACGACGACCGACCCGATCTGACGTCCGACGGAAGTCCGTAGGCAGAGGCCTACTGGTGCCGTCGACGACGGTTATCTCCGGATGGCCTTCTTGGAGGGTCGGGGGACTTAGTAAGTAGATGATAAGTAGACTTATAAGTACCCTAAAACAAGATCCTGATCGGGGTTATGGCGCTTATGTATAAGTCTACAAAACAAGTAGATACTAATTATCCCGACCTGCTCGGATTCGCGTAGAAGTCGGTGTAGACGTTGTCATGTCTCTTAGAGAAGGAGCCCTGAATCCCAGGCTCAAACTGTCCCAACTAAGAAAACCGCAACACTGCCTGTTGTGGAAGCATTTAGGGTTGAAAAGCAAAATCGAGACTGCCCAAAGCCTTAACTAAAGGCTCAACATGATGGGCACAGGTGTAAGCGTAGCTGTGTATCTGCCGTCGCTGAACCGGGCTCCTTCATGGGAGCTTGGGATCAGCAGCTGCTTCTGCGAGAGTTAGATGCACCTCCGTGTCTCTCGTTTCGCGGTCCTAAACTAGTTGTCGGACTGACTGAATCATCTGTATAGGGCACTTGGTAGTGTATGGGATGTGAAGTGAACATATACTTCAATACTTCAAGCTAGCAGAACGTACTTTCTCCGGCTAGCATCCAATATACATAAGCTCCAAACATAAACTTCTAAGCCTTAGCCTATAAACACGAAAGCATAAGGACGCCGGTGAAAACACAACAATCCGTCTTCAGCCAGAGAGCGGGTCAACTCCAAAAAAGGTGAACAGCTCAACTGCAACATCGCCCCAGGTGTAGTGCTGAATGCTCAAGCCCAAGAGCTCTAAACGCTGACGCCCCCTGAACCCTAAACTATTCCCACCCAAACTCTACCTGGACCCTGAGCTCCTTCTTCAGATTTGCTTCACTAGCTAAGCTGCTGAAACCAACAAGTTTTTGGGCTACAGGTAATGCTTACGACCAAAGACCGTAAACCCGAAATGCTAAACTGCTAAATCTGTACATCCTTAAACCCTCATATAAATAAACCCTAACCCACCCTAAACCCTAGACCCTAAAACCCTAAAGCCTAAACCCCAAGCCCCAACCCAAGACCAATAACCTCCTTTTATCCGAACGCCCAAGCCCACGGCGACAATGCTCTTCGGAGCGTTGGCATCGAAGTCCTGGTGGGTGTAGGGTTGAGGGTTTAGGGTTCTGAGCGGTTGTCCAGGGTTTAGGGGTTGCAGCCGTAGACTTTCCACCGTGGGGGCCTGCATGGTTCGAATAGGGGGTTGATTATGGCATTGTTTTCTTATGTCTTCTTCGTACTAGCTAATATTAACGTTTAGTGTTTGATGTTTAATTTTCAGTAGTAGCATGGGATTAGTATTAGCATTAGTCATCATATCAGTCCAAGATTTTAGTGTTTAGTATTCAGTAGTAGCACTCGGTCTAGTACTAGTATTAGTACAAGAATCAGTATTAGTATTCGTGTCAGTATCAGTTTGGTTGTTATTGTTACTACAGATCCTTTCTTTATTAGTAGTATGTGTGTATGTATATATCTATGTGTATATATATATATATATACATACCCATACATACATATATGTATATAAAGGTATACACACACACATATATATATATATATATATATATATACTAACCGTAGGGGATGCGGTGGGCAATGATTTAGACACCTTCTAGTTCAATCCCAAGCTCCACAGGTTCAGACTTCAGATTTAGGGGATCGTGGTCTTGGAACGGACCTCTGCGACAGTCTCTTATAGTAATCCCTGTAACAAACCCTAAACCTTAAAGCCCTGAAAACCTAGAACCTTAAAACCCTAAGCCCGAAGATCCTGAACCTTAAACCGACTCCCCAATTCCCTACTGAGAGCCAGGAGGTTCTTCAGCCGAGGATCTCCCCCCGGCGTTGAAGCTTAACATCGCAGCTTGAAGCGCCTGTATCCCGAGTCCTACCTGACCCTATAAAGCATCTTAGAGCAGATAGGTTATTTGGGAGCCAGGTACACCCTACCTTTTAGAGTTTAGCTTTTGGTGCTTGGGGTTTTGGGGAAACGCGACTCTCCCAACCCTGAACCCCAAACCCTAGACCCTAAACCCTAAACCCCAAACCCTAGACCCTAAACCCTAAACCCCAAACCCTAGATCCTAAACCCCAAACCCTAAACCCTAAACCCCAAACCCTAGATCCTAAACCCTAAACCCCAAACCCTAGATCCTAAACCCTAAACCCCAAACCCTAGACCCTAAACCCTAAACCTCAAACCCTAGACCCTAAACCCCAAAGCAGGCTTAACCTTAGGCCTCCGTCCTGGCTTGCACGCCAGGAAAACTTCTCTTCGAGCGCCCAGAGAGCCTTGCTTTCGTGTCATCCCTTTAAGGAACCCTTTCTATAAGGGTTTAGGGTTTAGGGTGTAGGGGTTTAGGGTTTAGGGTTTAGGGGTTTAGGGTTTAGGGTTTCAAGGAACCCTTATAGATCTCTTTGAAGGAACCCTTATAGATCCCTTTAAGGTACCCTTGTATTCGTATGGGAGTTTCCGAAACTAGGGGACCCTAATATAGGACCCTAAACAGTAGGATCCTCATTATCAGGACCCCAAAGTAAGGGTGCCCCCAAAATTTCGGAAACTCCCATGTGTAACATACTGCAAAAGCTATGTAATGTCCTACTGTCCCAAATCAATGATATGCAGGATGTCGGATTTACGGCGGCACCTCAGCCATCATCCAGAGGGGGATACCTTGTGCGGAAACCCATACTAACTACTAAAGATATCTCTGTATATATATATATATATATATGCACGCAAACCATACAAACATAAATGTGCAAATACTCGTCGGTAAGCAAACTCACACATACATGTGTGTGTGTGTGTGTTTACATATATACTATACACACGTATATCATATCTCAGTATACATGACGCACATACGTACATACATACATACATCCAGGCACATCCACCAACAAACAGGACTCCTTGTACTCGTGCACAATGTTGGTCCGTAGAAATCGCAGTTTCGCTCACAGACAGACAAAGGCCGTGCAAGCCCCTTTCCCCACAGCCCTTGCTAGAGCATGAGCGGTTATCTCTCCGTAGCCGCTGCCCGTACAAAGTGACGCCACTCCAATGGGAACGACTCTGCTCCTCGTCCTAAATGATCAATTGATCATTGCCGCTGCACCTCCTCACTTCGGCAAGTCCAAGTTTGGATGATTTGGCTGGCGAGTTTCGGCAGGAAGTTGGCACGTCGACCTTCTTACCGTCCGGCGTAAGAAACTGTGGAAAGAAGGCGTCCTGCTTGTCAAAGCAAGGCGGCAACAGCTTCTGCGTGCGGTTGATGCTGGGTATACCTCTAGAGTGACAGCACGGCAGGCTGCATACATACATACATATACATACATGCATACGTATGTAAATAATCATGCATAATATTTAATATGTGTGCATGTGTATATACTTACACACGCATCTCGACTAGGTTTTAGTGCATGCATATCTTCTACATGGACAAGTGCGTAGTACATGCAACTGGGGCAACAAAGTCGCAGGGCTGGCTTTACAGGCTGCGGGGGATGTTGACGCTCCCTGAAGCATTTCCATGGAGCGAGTTACGCTCATGGGATTACTTATGAAGTCTTCCATGGGTCGATTTTGAGTCTGGTGGGCCTCCTTCAATACACGACTTTCTCTTACATGCATGTACCAAACTGTTCGAAACCCGCCGACAGTTGATCTCGAAGCCTCTGGCTTCCCAGAGGGGCCAGGCAGGTTTCGCCCAGACTTACCCAAGCATTTAGCGTTGGAGTACATCTGCTGGTTCGAAACGATGGCAATGCACATTAGCAGCAGCCTCTTCAGATCGAACCCTAAACCCTACTCTAAACCCTAATCATTAGGCCCTAATCCCTAAACCTAAGCCCTGAATTCAGCCATAAAGAGAATTCGGTTTTCAGCTGAGGGCCCTTCGATCCAGCGGCATCAGAAAGTCAGGAACATTCAACAAACACTAGAACAGCGAGGAAACCAAGGCCGGGAGCAGCCTTTATGTTGTGTTATACTCATTCCATGCTGCATTAGAGTACACTGTGGTATACTTGAGAAGTTCTGGAAAGACTGAAACGTGGGCTGCAGGCAAATACAGCAGAAAAATCTTACCTGCACTTTCAGCTGGATAACAGCTTCTGTTTTCCTTACCTCTACACCTTCGTATAACCCTGATCCCTACACCCTGAACCTTAAACCCTTACTTCCGGGCTGAATACCCGAGCCCCACAAAAGTTAACCATTTCAATTATGGTAGGACTATATAAACCCCAGAAGGTTCAAGGTTACCTACTCAGCTACAGGGTATACGACAACCCTAAAC